AATGCATACCGCGCGGCTCATCCCGTTCGGAAAAAACTTCATGTGGATTATAAACCAAACGTCCTTTTCATATCATACCGGTACGCGATCGGGTCAGCATTGCTATCCAATATATCGCCGCCTCGTGCGTACTGAATAATCGAAGGATCACTGCTCCTATGGATATCTGGACGACAAACTTGAAGTAATAACTTGAACTTTGTTAAAATAAATTTATATACATCAATCTTTGTACTCAATTCCCCTTCTCTCCCCCGACCGTGATTCTTGTGTCACGGTCCTACCGCGAAGGTAGTGCGTACTTACACTCCTTTGACACTATTTGAAACATGAACTGGGCTTCTTTTGGCGTCAGTTCCCCATACGTTGGTGGCGTCTAAGATGACCATAAAAAAAAAAAACAGTGTTGAATTCAGTCTTTCCCCGCTTGAAAGCATGAGAAAAGTAACTACCCTTAGTTATGAGACACCCTTCCCTCTAAAAAGTGGTATGGAATACCTCTCCTCCTTGCCCGAACACATTGTTCAGGTCTCAGAAGTTGGGCTGGCTCCACCGCAATACAACATGGTATTCCATCGTTGAACGGTCCACTCTGGGTCAATAATAGGGCGGACTTCTAAAGCAACGAACCCCTGCCCCAGATGCTTCCTAGAGAGAAAAAAATTCAATCTCTACTATGTGTAATCACTTTTCTATACTTTTAACTAGGGGTTCGACTTAGATGAAAAGAAACACGGAGATCTCTTTGGACGGGTATAGAAAGAAAGTGTTATTCAGGATAGAACGGGATGTTCCTTGAAAAAATACTAAGTCATTTCCTTATCTTCATCTTTTTCTTTCACGAATTTCATATTTCCGGCACCCGTTAACTCCTCTTTCTCACTACGTTATTTTTGTGACATGCAGACAGATAAAGAGTTGAAGAAAGATAAACATTTTCATCATTTATTGAGCAAGCATGATGTCGATTTCTTCTCACATATCCTTTACCTACCTGCACAATCAATAGAAGAAACAATCCAAAAATCATTCATATCCTAATCAAAGTCAGCCCCCTTTTCCCACATGCATGATCATGTCACGCATCTTACTCTACCTTTTCCCTTAATCCAAAGCAAGATCATGCAAGGTATGGGTTCATACAGGTGTGTAAGGGAAACTGAGTCACAACTGACCTTGAGTGAAGTTGACAACGACTCACTAAAGAAAGCTAAGTATTACTTCCCAAAGATTGGCCACACAACTCTAAAGTTGTGGCCGTTTACAAAAGGCAATTTGCGTCCTCCTTCAGGTGTCACCACTGACACAAGTGTCACTCACTAGGACTGATGCGAGATAGCCCTCGATGTGGGTGCTTTCACTTTCAAGTCCCATATGATCCCACTACATTCCCAGCGGAACCTCGCCCACCAAGAATAGCGCCACCTCAATCACCAATCCAACCTCCACCAATTACCGACTCTGAACACAGGGTATTCACCAACACTCAAGCTTGCCCCTGTCTCAACCCCCAACTCTCTTGGTCCCAATAGGGGCCCCAAGTATCTCCACGCCATCGTCGCGCTACCAGATGATCTCCCCAAAAAACTTTGGATTGTGGCGCTTGTCCAAACACAAAATCACCACCCGCTTTAATGTCGTAGTGTCCGCACTTTAGCACCACACCACCGAGTACCATGCCAAAAAAATTACCACCGCAGATTCAAAAACCCCTGACAAAAACCTCCACCAGCCGCTCCTCGCAATTCTGGCGGCACCTCCCCTCAAAATGATGTCAAATATAGTGCCGCTGAAAAAATCACCGCACGACCTCGGTAGCACCCCCTTCCAAAAATACTACAGCACAACCTTCCTACTCCAATATCACCGCGCAGGCCATCCGACAACGCCTCCTTGTTGTGGGCCCCTTGCCTCACGGTCCAAGCCTGTCGTAGCCTCACGTCTACAACCTCCCCACAGGCCTGCAGCACAAGCACAAGGGTGGGGCAAAAAGCTCTCAGCCTTTAGCTATGGCTGCCTCTGTCCTCCTCCAAGTGTTTCTGCAGACCTCCAACACTTCGCCTCACTACTTCAGCAACCAGCCAACCAGCATCTACTCAAAGTAGAATGCCCCAGCAACACTGCCATGAGGCTGCTGGGTGGCAAGCTGACTTTTATAGCTAGCTGAAGGCATGTGGGCAGCAACCTTGCCCACAACCAGACAAAATTTCATTAGTGTTCCTGACCTTTGATCTAAATCAATGGTCAGGAGCGCTATGCCTTGGTTTTCCCCTAGTGGAACCAAGGCCATCCACTCCCAGGAGTACCTTCTCCCGATCCTCCTTCTGCTGTTTCAGCAGTCGATAGAGGATCTGGTCAAAGTTCTCGGCCAACAAGTTTTTTCGAATCTTCAGCCAGTCATACCTCCCCTGCATACCTTTCACAAACTTTCGTTGTTCTACCCCTATGAAGTTATCCAAGAAGATAAGACAACGATCCTTGTCTGGGAGATCGGGAACCAACCGTGCCACCCGCTCGAACTCGGTCAGGAATTGCTTCGTCGTACCAAAGTTCCGTCGACTAACTTTTCGCAAATCTGCCAAGTCCAGCAGTTGGTCACGCAATTGGTACTTTTCTAACAACTTTCCTTTGAACTCAAACCAATCCCGCGAATCTCACACCAACTTCTATACTTCCTCCTTATACCCCACTTGACAATACCTCTTTATCATCCGCAACATCTTTTCATTTGACCATTTGCAACAACTCCCCAACTGTTCAAACTTATCTGCCCATGCTGAGGCATTGTTGTCGTCGAATAACGGAACCTCAACCTTCGGAAACTGTTCCTTATGAGATTGATGAATGATTCTGGCAAGCGCCCGAATATCGTTCCTCCCTTCATCCTGATTGTTGTTGTTGTTCTAAATCCCAACCATCTTCAGTGAACAAAATCATAACAATACATTTCTAAGAATTAGTCAGTTTCTTTGAAAAATTCAAATAATACTTCATATATTTTTTTCTTTCCCTTTTTTTTTTTACCTTTGGGATCAAATCACCAACTTTTTCTAAGACTAAAAAAAAGGAAAGTAACAATTATTCAATCAATCACCCGGGTGTCGTTCCGCTAGGGACAACGGTAGTTTGCCGTCATTCCCGCCAACGACGCCACCTGTCGAGCACATCAGCTCCCGCCTTTTTACAAAGCGCGGGAACCCTCCCGACCATGTCATGCAAGAGTAAAGCAAAAACAAAACAAGAGACAACTCGGGAACGATACTTAATAACCCCACGAACTGCCGAGGCAGTCGCAGTAGCTTCGTTCCGTCGCCGCTCTAGCCGGGTGCGCCGGCAGTATATCCCACGGTCCCCTACGACAGGATAGGTTCCCGCGGGGCATATGCTTTCCCTAAAAGGGTCAGGGAAAGCATATGCCCCGTGGGAACCTATCCTGTCGTAGGGGACCGTGGGATGTACCGCTAGCGCACCCAGCTAGAGCGGCGAAAGCATATGCCCCGCGGGAACCTATCCTGTCGTAGGGGACCGTGGGATGTACYGCTRGCGCAYCCRGCTAGAGCGGCGAAARCATATGCCCCGCGGGAACCTATCCTGTCGTAGGGGACCGTGGGATGTACYGCTRGCGCAYCCDGCTAGAGCGGCGAAARCATATGCCCCGCGGGAACCTATCCTGTCGTAGGGGACCGTGGGATGTACTGCTGGCGCACCCGGCTAGAGCGGCGACGAAACGAAGCTACTGCGACTGCCTCGGCAGTTCGCAGGGTTGTTAAGTATCGTTCCCGAGTCGTCTCTTGTTTTGTTTTTGCTTTACTCCTGCATGACATGGGGCCTCGCTGCACTACTCCTGAATCTTGAAAAATCAAGAGTTCATCACCATTGCACTAACTCTTGATGCCGCGTCTTGAATTTCTATTCAAAAGCTGCCAGATTCACTCTCGAAAACGTCGAGAGTGAGTCATCGCTGCACTAACTGTGGAAAACTGCTCTTGGTCCAGCACTTCAAGAGGTGTCAGAAATGACCCATCCGACGAGCTCTTGAAGTTTCCACAGTTCCCGCCTGCAGGAACTTTTTTTTTCAAACGAGGTCGACGAGTCCCTTCATGCGGTTTGCAAATTCGAGAGTTGGCCTCCGGTCTCGGTGGACAAATCGTCGCTGCCCTGTCGTGTAGTGTCTGTCCGACAGTAGAGAATGCTCACGAGAGTCGAGAGTCCGGAGTAAGTGCAACGACGACAGCACTTGGTGCCAATCCAGAAGTCTGACAGCGCTAGAAGAACTCTTGAAAATTTTCATGTGTCTAGCGTAGTGCAGCGAGGCCAATGGCCAGGAGGGCTCCCACACTTTGCAAAAAGGCGGGAGCCGATGCGCTCGACAATTTGGTGCGACCTTTGAAGGACAACATATGCGTCAACCACGGGAATAGGGCAACTCTTCATAGGATCCGAGGGACTCTTTTTTTTTTTTTTTTTTTTTTTTTTTTTTTTTTTTTTATCCGAGAGACTCTTCTGACATCACGTATGTCACTCCAATTGTGGAAAAAAAAAAAGAATGAATTGTATCTTAGGGGGATTTTCTAATGCATTTCTGAATTTGAAATGAATAAAAAAAAACAGTTTCAGCCGTCACACCGTTGAGCTAGGTCCACTGAACGGTGCATGTGGGACAAGGTCCCAGGGGCCATGCTAATCTCCTCTGTATCGTTCCAATTTTAACGGATGTCCCAAAAGGTGTTTGTATTGCAATGTTGTACGACTTAATTTTTTCCGCAATTTTCTGTTTTTTTTTCGGAAAAATTGAAATTAGCGAGAATTCGAATACAACGTACGTACGTCGCAGTCGACCGTAGGCGGTTGTATTCGAAAAAAAATCAGCGATTGGCCCCTGCGCAAGGATGACACGCATAAATTCAGAACCCATTTCTCCGAGGTTCAGTTGAATAGAAGGTACGCACGTTTTTTTGGGGTTAAGACATTCGTGGCGGCACTCTAGTCAACACGTCGATACGGAATCTTGCCACGCTGCGTAGCAGGGATACGCGTATAACGACTACAGTAGGCCATACACCGGCTCGGCCATGGCGGCCTGTTCGTGGGCGCCAGTAGGGAAGGCATCCACGGTCGATTGGAGGGGCGAATTTTGCGAAACTGCTTCTCCCGCCGAATTACCGACGCCAGGGCGCGGATGCGCTGCTGGTGGTGGTAGTTTCCACGTGGCCAATGCCAGAGCCAGAGCTATTGGCGGGACTGGACGGGGTCCCGGGCCGTCTGGTGTGGTGATCGGCGGTGCTTCTCGGGTATTGCCGAACGTAAAGCAGGGAGCCTGCGCTTGTCGTTTACTGCCGCACGATCGTTGTTTTCAATCATCGAATCTCGTGCGACATCTCTGCTCGAATCTCCCCCGTCGATGGGAAGAAAGCGGGAGTCGATCGCGGCGCGCAGTGGTAGAACACCTGGCGGCGGCGGACAGCGTTGTTGCGAACGGCTTGTCGGAAGATAGTCGTCTGCTTTTTCGAAGAGGACGAAGAGGAACAGACGGGCGGGAAACCCTTGGGTCAAACTTGTGGTGGTCAACGGTCAACAGGAGTAGGATAACGATCAACGGTTGGAAATCGTCGATCTGTTGGCAGAGAGATCGTTTCTCGCAAAGCTTGTCGTCGTCGTCGTGTAGGTCGTCGTCGGCGCGCAGTGGCCGACGACGCGGTTCGCTTCGCACGGCGTTGGCTATGGGTGATGCTAGTGAAGCGGCGAATGTGCAATCGACATCGAATGTTTCTGTGAGTGGAGGAGAGGAAGGAGGAGGGGAAGGAGGAGCGCAAGGAGAGGGAGGAGGAAGAGGAGGTGGTGACGGTCTTGCTTTCGATACTGAGGTTTACGACAGAGAACGCCTCCGATTAGACGCAGAGGCCATGGCGGGAATGAAGGAGAAAGCGGAAGCGATGGAGAGGGGGGGGGAGGGAGAGGAAGCTGAAGGGAGTGGCGGCTGGAAGTGGAAAATTCGAAAACGGATATGGGATTTGATGGAAAAGGAAAACATCGCAGCGGAGCCAAGACCAGTGCATCACAGAATACCTAATTTCGTGGGAGCAAACGAAGCTGCTAGAATGGTGCAGTGATGTATTTCTTTCTCCCTCAATTCTTTTTTTTTTCCTTCTCGTTTTGGTTTCTTTGCGTTTTCCTTCGTCTTCCCTTTATAGATATTTTTGTTTTCTATTCCCATGTCCTTCTGTTCGCAATTTTTTTGTTTTTTATTCCCATGTCCTCTGTTCTCAATTTTTTTTGTTTTATTCCCATGTCCTTCTGTTCTCAATTTTTTTTTGTAGGCTCTGTACATTCCCCGGATATGGGGGCAAATACGTATTACAGTGAATGTTGTCAGAGTTCGATTAATCTGGAAAAAACAAGGCTGTATAAGGCCTGCTTTCGAGGGAAGGGGAGGGCGGGGGGGGGGCTCTTGATCCTAAAGTGTTGCGATTAACGCTCTGCTTTGTGAAGTCATGCGCTATTTCGTTTCCTTTTCCCCTTCAGCGTTTAATGAACGTTGCTTAATTTGCATGCACTACCTATATTTTACAGAATTGAGTCGATTTTCGTCTTTTTTTTGGGAGGGGGCAAAAAACATGAAGCCGCCTTATTTTTGGAGCAAGTGACGTGTGCGCACGATGAAAGAATTGCTCATCCTCTTGTCCATAGCGAAGGAGACGCTGCAGTAGTCCGCAGCGAGATGGACACGACTTATTTTATTTATCCAACCGCGTGGTTGGAGACACCCAAATTGACGAACTCAAGATGGGGACCACCGCCTGTCGTGAAAGGGGGTCACTGGGAAGGACCAACCCTTGGTCAACTCCCAACCATGTCTACGATACGCAGTTGAACGGGTTCGTGAACGTGAGGTGCGGGTAGGATTAGGAACTAGACGCGTTCGGTCAGGAAAGAGAGCGTTTTCCTATGTATTGCGTTGAATAAGAGCGCACATACCAGGGCTCGAAGAGCGGGAACCAGGCCACGAAGTGGCAACAGCACCTGAAGCGCAATCTGCGTTCTCGTCCAACCTGACAGTTGGAATCCCATTTCAGGATGAGAGCATTTGGTGGAACCGGTGAAGAGCTTAAACTGGAGCTTAATCAGCAGGTGCGAAGCACAAAAAGTCATAATGGGATATCTCTCCTAAGTACCCAAATTCATGCCGTGAAAAGTGGTATTATTATTCCAAGTATTTTGGATAAAATGCCAATTATATACAATTTCATTTTGTTTGTTGTTTTTTTAGATGTTGTCAACGCATGAAATGAAACAAGCCGCTTCTCAATTTATCACACGTACTATAAAACAAGAAAGATTGAAACCCCACCCGAACGGGTGGGTAATTGGTACATATCATGCATGACATCGAGTTCTCTCTCTTTTTCTCTCTTTCTCTTTCTTTTTCTCTCTTTTCCTGTCTTTAATCCTTTTTGTGTTCTTAAACGTGCGACATACACTATCGTGAATCGTGATTTCATTTTGAAATAATGAACACACAGGTGCCGGGGATTAAAAAAAAAGAAAAAAAAAGAAAAGGTGCTGGGGAGATTCTCCCGACTGTATGGTGTAAAGGAAAAGAAGACGGAATTTGTGCATATTGACGGTCATGAGGGTGACGTCATCCGCGTGCAAAGAAACGGAACGCAAACAATAAAGGCGGAGGGGGAAAAAAACGCGATGAAGGATGAAGAGAAGTTTTCTAGGGACGTAAAAAAAACGAAGAATAAAACTCAATGGAATAAAAATAAAACCCAAGGGAATAGAAATAGAACCCAAGGGAATAGAATAAAACCCAAGGGAATAGAAAGAGAAATAAAACACAAGGGAATAGAAATAAGGCACAAGGGAATAGAAATAGAAATAAGGCACAAGGGAATAGAAATAGAAATAAGACACAAGGGAATAGAAATAAGACACAAGGGAATAGAAATAAAACACAAGGGAATAGAAATAAAACACAAGGGAATAGAAAATGGAATAAATGATAATCAGGTAACCGAACAAGCAGCGACCAAGCCAAGAGAGAGCAAAACAAACAAATGCATTGCTAGCGAAAACAAACAAATGGGAGGGAATACAAGAGCAGCAAATAAGAAACTGACAGGGAATAGACTAGGAAAATGAAGGCTCTAGAAAAGAGGGGGAGGACAGTGGAAAATGGGAGAACAGATAAGGTGTTGGAAATAAGACGAGGAGAGATGGAGGAAAGATAAGGGGACGGGGTGAGGGGAGGGGGAGGGTGGAGAGGGAAGGTAGAGGTGGGAGGATGTGCTGGAATCAGCGTTGAAAAGGAAGGAGATAATCTTGCTGATGAATGTTTCCCGCGCACGAGTACAGATCCGCCAGTGAAGATGAAAAGGGTGCAAAAAAAAAAGTGGGGAAATATGGCCATGCAGTGGAGGCGGGGGGTAGGAGTGAGTGATGGCAGCGGGCTGAAAGGTTGCAGCGTAGGAAGAGGCGCGGTGCCAACACCCAATCAGAAGAGACGATAACGGCACAGATCAGGGAAGGGGGGAAATGTGGAGAAGATGTGAGGAGAGGATAGAAAGGGTGGGGAGGAGAGGGAAGAGGGAGGGGAGAGGGATACGAATGTCCATGGCTAGAACGGCCATTGATAGGGCGAAAGATATGCAGAGAGTAGGGGGGGAAGATCGTGGATGAACAGGAGGATGGGAAGCAGCTTGGAGGGTAGGAGGGAGGTGTGTACTAATCTTGCCAGCCCTCAAGCGATTAACTAATTAACCCTGGTACGACTCCAGATTGTGGACAGACGGTTACAACTACAAAATGTAGAGAAGGAGAGGAAGGAGGTATACCTGGGTGAGCTGTGCGGGTCGCGCTTGTCGGGAAGCAGGAGGGATGAAACATTTCCTCCTCAGAGATAAAGAGACGGAAACAGTGAAAGAAACTACCTAAAGGATGCCGACCAGTCAGAACTAGAAGAACACTACCCGGGAAAAGAGAGAGAGAGAGAGGGAGAGAGAGAGAGAGAGAGAAAGAGGCGAGGGGGTGGGGGGGGAAGTGAAGGATCATTGGGTCAACAGCAGAGTCGAAGGTGATGAAGCATGGTAAGGATGGTGGAAGACCCCGTCCGAGGGCGTTAGGGAGTACCGCCGGATAGCGCACTGCAATGGGGAGGGGCTAGTATCAGGGGTCCCTCTTATCGTTCCAAATGCACTGGCAACCTAAGCTCTCCGTGTTTCTTTATTTTTCTTTTCTCTCCTCCCTGCTTTTCTCGTCTTTAACGCGTGCAAGTTTCTTCTGGGTTTATCAAAACGGGTGAAAGAACGTAGGCATCCTGGCTGGGCTTAAAAATATGCTAAAAAGTAGCCCGTCAGGATGTACCTGGATATGCCGATGCCCAAGTGCATGATTTATCCCTTTATGGGCAGAATGCCTAAATCCATGATGCCCCCCAGATGCATTCTGACTGCACAACACAACCTTGTTCTTTCATTTGTAAAGTGGCCACTATTTCTTTCCTCCACCCATTAAAAAAAACTCAGAAAATGAAAACATCAAACAAAAAAAAAAGTACGCTTCCCGTTTGGGAGATCGGATCAGATAGGTGCATTCTTGACTGCGTAATCTTGTCCATTGATATGTAAGCGGGGCTACTATTTCTTTCCCCCACCCTTCAGAAAACGTTAAAACAAATAGATGCCCAGAAAATTCTTAATTACCTGGTGCCGGTCAGTTCAATGATGCTCTCTCAAGGTCGTCGCCCTTTAAAAGGAAAAAAGAAACCCATAAAAACAGAAAACGTAAAGCAAACAAAGATCTGAAAGCAAAAAAAAAAACAGAAAACAAAAAAAAAGACAGAAAACAAAACAAAAACAAAACAAAACAAAAAAGAAAAACAGAAAACAAAAAAACAAAAAAAACAGAAAAACAGAAAACAGAAAACAAATAATAACAGAAAACAAAAAAAAACAGCAAACAAAAAAAAAAA